TTTACGTGACAAATGTGGAAAATTTACATTAAGGGGCTCAACAAACCATCTAGCAACTATAAATTTTTTATTATACAAACAATGGTAACAAAAGCAGTCTCCTAGAAATATAGTTGGCTCTTCTATAGATCAAGGTGCCCATGTTTGATAACACCAATTAATTAATAAAGACCTACTGTAAAGACATTGTAGATGAACCTAAACTATCAGATTCGTCCAATAGAAATGTCCAGAACATGACTTTTAGATCTGAGGGTAATACCGGTGCCTCAAGTTGCAGGTGGCAGTTGCTAGATGCTACAAGCAAATTGTTAAAATAAGGAATACATGTCTATTTTCTTTTAGTAGGTTGAGATCCTTCATTAGAGGTATTCCTCTGCCTACAGGATTTTGCTTTGTATGCATTCTTTCTTGAGAGTTGTTCTTATTTCTCTAAAATAATATTTCATAATTAAATTGCGTGTTGTGGTAGACTTGGGCAAAAGGGGGTGAGAGATACTACGCTTTTTTAGATTCCTAACTGTTCTCAGAAACCAGGAAAGTAAAATCCTGGAACCCTCCGAACAAAGAGGTATCAGCATTGTCTCTTGAAGTAGTAGGATCCTGATGGAGTAGTCTTAAAGGAACTGGGCAAGGATGTTTTTTTTTTTTTTCCTGGGCTAAGCCGGTACGTGCGTTCTACGAGGAAAAGGATAGGATTCGGGCTGGGGGAGTCATTAATTTAGTATTTCTACAGGTTTAATGCCTGCGGTTATTAATTTTGTGACGTCCTCCAGGCCATTCATGATATTTATGAAGGTTCTTAGGTGGGGCAGACGTTTTTTGAGGGTTAGTGATTGGAGAAGCGAGAAGAGGTCTTTGATATCTTGGGTGGTTGTAGGTTGTGGGTTTGGATTGGTTGGTAGGGGTCGGAGGCAGAGGAGTAGGATTTGTTTGGTTTTCTGAGGGGTAGGAAGGACATGTTGGGAGGGGGTGCTTGAGTATGGGGTTTTTGTTTGTTCTCTCGTTTCCTTAGCTTTGGTGAGGTAAGGGCAGATAGGGTCGTAAGCTGAGAGGTTGCAGTTGCAGCAGGTGGGTGTAAAGGGATTGGATTGGTCTAGGGATAAGGCGGGACATTCTTCAGTAGAGTGGGATTTAGCACAAAGGGCGCAGGTCACTGGTCGTCGACAGCATGTCCTTGTATGGTACAGTTTTTGACAGCGTTTGCATTGGGGAATACGGTCAGAGTTTCTGTAATGTTCGATCCTAGTTCTATAGTTGTCTATGTACGTCAGTTTGTTTTTGTCGCGTCGGTTCATTTCAGTAATGTGGACACGGGATTTTGAAGTCCTGGACGTTTGTTCTAAATCTTTCGAGGTCGTATTTAGGGAGGAATCCTTTGAGGACAAATTTCTCTCTGATCTCTTCTGTCGCTCTATTGTATGAGATGTTCACAAAATATGTCTTTGAGGTCTGTTATAGATATTAGTTCTAGTCTGTCCCGAATTTTGTTGTAGGCAGTCATTGTTAGCGGTTGAATCAAAAGTTGCGTTCTGTTGCATTTGGCAGTCATTGCGTTGTGGCTATGTTTTAATATGTCAATTGGTCTGAGGGGTTGAGGAGGAATTTGAGGTCTATTCGGAAAGGTCATATCTTGCTTTTCGGCGGTGGGATTTTTAGTTGTTGGAAGTGTTCTTGTTCGCTTGCGGTAGGGTTTTCTGGAATCTTGTCGGAGGTGCAAACTTGGGAGTCAGGTGGAGTGGGGTGTAGCGGTTGCTCAGGGGTAGGGATTGGGTTTGGGGAGCCCTGGAAGGTGTAGTGACAAATTGGAAACAATCTTCAGTCATAAATCTCTTTTGAATTCCTGTCAGGAGAGGGGTCGTGTGGTTGAGGTACCAGTTGAAGCGGGGGATTGCGCTGTAGTGGATGTCTGCTGGGTTACCGTCTGGGTGATTGGTCTTCATCGATGGTCAGTTAGATGCTGTCGTCGCTGGTTTCCACGTCCATAGATTTTTCCAGTGTAGAATCCATCTCGTCGTTAGTCCGAGTCGGGCAACGGCCAAAGCCTTCTCGGAAGCGCCGGTTGCTTTTCGCAAGTGCTCGCCGGAACGACTCTCGAGGGACCAAGGACAGGTCAACTGTTGTCTGGGCCGGGTTGCAGCTATGTGCAATGCTTTCTCCCGCTCCACGTGGTCAGTTGGTTCGTAGTCGGAAGTGCGATTCGGGACAGCTGGGTCACTTTGTAGCTGAAACAATACACGAGGGTAACGATCGCAGTCAGCGAGTTTGATCTTCACTGCACGGGCGCTGCTCGCTCAATATCATTGTTTAAGGTACGAACATAACCAATCTAACCAACGAAAACTAATACGGGAAAGTCTGTGCCCTTCTGTAGCATCACTAGTTGATGTTTTAGGTCATCAAAAACATCCGTGGAAGAATCAAATGTAGTTGTAGATTTTGGGACAGGATTTTCAGAACAAATTGAAAATGATCGTATTAGAGAAAAACGCTGATGAACAGCTTAAAGGTGATACTTGTGTATATTAGCAAAAAATCGCACACAATGGAAGCAGTACGAAATTCTAACTATTCGCACCAACCATAACTGCCATACCCTAAATTGAATGTAAAATCTGAAATATTTTATTCTATTGTTTAGAATTGCAAGGAACATACGCATATTATGATTCAATAAATTATTTTCATTCCTTAGTGTTTTTAATACTTTGAATGCCGAAAAATTGGTGCTTCACACTTAACTTTCGTGTGTCCGCGATGCGATAAAATCCTGTTTTTCAGCATTACTTGTAATCTTTGGAACGGCGAACGGAAAACTTGAGGGCCGTCGGCCGTGTAAAACGATTTACTTTAACGGATCGTCAAAAGAAGGAATTTGTCAACCCTGCGTAACGTACGAATTCAAAAGTGTCACCGAGTGACTGATCCGGTAATTCTATCGTGAACATACAGTGCGTTAGAGACCAAAAAATGCGCGTTTACTATTTTTGAAATGGTGAGAAAGAAAATATGCGAATGACGTTGAGTAAAATTCTGTATTATATATTTTGTAAGTATGTTTTCCATTATAATATAAGATATATTGTAACTAAAGCATGATATTTAATTGCAAGTGAACACGGGGGAAAAACCGAACCTGTTTTCTTCACTGTATATTTTCTTATATTCAGTGTTATTAAAGTAATTTCACCTATTATAAAAGCAAATAGGTTGTTTTAATCATAATGACGGTACCATTATCAAAAAAGTTTTTGTTTTTTTGGACATCAATATTCATTACAAATGTATAATATACACCGAAAGAAATGCACAGAACCTTTGCAGCCATTTTCAAGGGTATGTGATTTAAAATGGTAAAATTTGTTTTATTTTTTTAAGTACAACTCAACGATCAAAAAAATCTGAAAAAAATCACCATTTGTGTTTTAAGAACTTTTCAGGTTTCTTTCAAGCATGTTCCAAGTTTCAGACAGTCTTTTGTATAGAACTAGCTCTTAAAAAAAAGGTAATGTACAATTTTTTGAAAAAAGACTAATATTTGTTGCTATTTACGCAAATTTTTTCGCATAAACAACTTCAATTGTTTTCTTTTATTTTTCTCCACATGTAATAATGGACGGTAAAAGTATGGTACTAGTTCCACTTTTGGGTATTGATCTATTTTTTTTTAAATACCAAAAAATTCAATATTACAAAATTGAAGATATATTTTTTACTTTATTCAAAGTTTGTTCTAAAAAATCAGCTCATTAAAAACGGTCATGTACTTTCTTTTTTTTAGAATACCAGTATTGTTCGAAATTTCTGCTTGAAATTAATGAAATATATACAGGTGTCCCATCAACTACGGGATACGAAAAAAAATCTCCAATGGATATGTAAAATAATTATTTAATTTTAATTTACTATTAAAAATGGCAATTATTATTTTATTTGTACTTTTTACTCTATTGAACGATGTGTATTTTCAATGTATTGGTGTATTTCTTTCAACCAATCCGCAAAGTTGAATTGACATTTGCGCAACAATGTCGCCATCGATAATTGAGAGTCTCGTTGTGGTTGAACGTCCAGATGGTGGAGATAAGACTAAGCTGTTTTATTTACTGGAGCTTGTGTTCCCAAATTAGTATTTTAGAAATGATTCGAAACCTATTTAATAATCCATATATTTTGTCTGTGTTGCGATTTATAGAACATACAGATTTTCGCTGAACGTAGGTCACTTATCTTTCAGCATGTCACCAGCAAAACTTTCCCAGCCCTACCAATAAACGTGGTGTAAAATTTATTCTGTGCTTATGCCCAGAATAGCGAAAACTCGTACCAATAAACATGGACTAACTCGAGCACGGAATAAGAGAAGTATAGTTTCCATGGCAACCGCTAAACACCGGAGACACGTAATTTA